TAATGTGTTGTTTTTTTCAGCCGAACAGAGAGTTCGAACCCTGGACCCTCAGATTAAGAGTCTGATGCTCTACCGACTGAGCTATCCCAACCTACAACCTAAAACTTAACCTAAACCTAACCTAAAACTTCGTACGAAACAGAGAAACAAGAGTCTGCAAAAACGAACACACGCTAATATTCGTCGATACTGCAAACATGAAATCGTGCGTAGAGTTTAATAAGCGAGATTTCACAACGTGCCTGGCGAGAATTTGTTTCACTTTAACACGCGGTTCGAAAAAATGGCGGCGAACGCTTGGGGATTTATGAAAGAACGCGTGTCGCGAGTGTTACACGTTTCGCGATTGTTGTTAGACTCTTTGCGCCCGCAAAAGGATAATGCATTTAGCCCCGGAGGTTGTAACCAGACTCGAGGTTACCAGTTTTCAGCGACCAAAACCGTGCCGCTTCCATTATTTCGTCGCAATAGTTTTACACGCACGAAAACGATTATTCGACTTTTTTTTCGTGTTTTTTCGTCGAAAACCACGCGTAACACGACGCGGCAGTAACAACGAGGCGAAAACTCGTTCGTTCGTTGGGAGTTTTCGATACGGGCGTTGAAACAATTGAAAGGAGGGGGGGAAAAAAACCACTCTGATTACGAACGTCATTGACGCTGTTGAGGATTATTGGCAATTTGGAAAGAACTCGGGGACAATGATTGAAGTCCACTTGTTGAAGTTGAAACAAGAGAAACTTGTAACCGGGAATTTGAAATGTGCGAGCTGCGTAAAAATTTCTCTCGTCAATTCTCTTTTGCAGCTTGGTTTGGATATTTCATGTAATTTTATGTTGGTACGCGCGTCTTGTAAATGACTTGTTGGTAGATAACTTTGAAACTCAGACCAAACGTACAAAAATCTATTCACAAGTGTATCATGTTGAAGTTAATTGAATAATTAGAATAATTATAAATGTTTGAATTAAACAAATAATTTAGCTGTATGGATTGCAATCTAGAAAAACAATCGAGGAAAACCACTAGACTTTGGCGACCATCTGTTCCCCCTCCAAAAAAAAAAAAAATTAGACAATATTCAAAAATTGGACAACTCGTTTTTTAAATTTTGCTAGATTTTCTTCAAAAACTTATTACTGTCTTGTCAAAGTTAAGCATATACTTTAATATTCCTGTGGTCTATTTTTAAAAAAAGTGAGGTTAGGTATCCCTCTCTAGATTCTCTATGAATACGTGAAGAAAAGAATAAAAGAGTAAAAAAAAAAAGAAGTAAAGTATAGAAAAAGAGAATAAAGAAAGGAAATAAAGAATAAAATTAAATAATATTCAATATATTGTAGCAACTTTGGATTATAGTTCTTTCTTCACGAGCGTCGAGTAACTGTCGATGCAAATTTTTCTCGAGCACTCGTTGAATGAATAACAAAGCGGCAAAAACTTGATTTCAAATTCGAAACATTGTTCTACATTTTTAATTCCGCCTTTATTATTAATCTCCACTGGTATCCTATACACAACGTGTATATCTGTTTCCCAAGAAATTACCTCAGCTATATAATACATCCGCGTACAAACATTTATAATGATTAACACAAATGAATTACCTTCTGCAAATTATTTTTAAGCAATTATCAAGATAATGATTCTCTCATGTAAAAAACAAGGTACGCTCTTCCCTCGTTACCGGGCTCTTACGGTTATAATATTAATACAAATGATTCAGACATCAATTACCTTCTGCGAATTATTTTTAAATAATTATCAAGATAATGATCCTCTCATGTAAAAAACAAGATACGCACGTCTCTCTCTCTCTC